TGTGTACTTACAAGTAGAACATAAGATAATGCTATGGTTAATCTTTTGAGGAACTTCCCAACTGTTTTCCACACAGCTATAGCATTTTATATTTCCACCAGTATGAGATTTCCATTTTCTCTACAACCTCACCAATACTTAGTTATTATCTGTCTTTCTTATTATAGTTGTCCTAACCAGTGTGATTCTGATTTGCATTTTCTTGATGGTTAACAAGATTGATAATGATATTTCATATGCTTTTGGCCATTTATATGTATCATTTGAAGAAATATATATTCAGAGTCTTTAACTGTATTTTAAATTGGGCGATTTGTCTTAATTATTGAGGTATGAGAGTTCTTTTTCCACTGCACCTAGCTCCCTGTATTTTCTTCTATAGTTTTAATTTTTGCGTTTAGGTCTATGATCCATCTTTAGTTCATTTTATGTATGAGGCTTGACTTCATTCTTTTTGCATGTGTCTATCTTTAATTATATAACATCATTTTTTGGAAAGATTGTTCTTTTCCCCCACTGAATGGTCTTGGCACCATATTGAAAAATCAGTTGGTCCACTGTGGTGGTGCAGGCCTGTAATCCCAGCAATTTGGGAAGCTGATGCAGGAGGATTCCGAGTTCAAGGCCAGCCTCAGCAATTTGGCAAGACCCTGTCTCAAAATAAAAAAAAATAATAATAAAATAAAAGGACTTGGGAACTAACTAGCTTATTGGTAAAGTGCCCCTGGGTCCAATCCCCAGAACCAAGAAAAAGAAAACTAAAAGAAAATAAATTGACCAATTGCCCATGGATACATTGTTTATTTTGAGATTCTGTTGTATTCCACTGATCTATATGTCTGTCCTTATGCTAGTGCCACACTGTTTTGATTTCTGTAGCTTCATAGGAAGTTTTGAAGTCAGGAAACATGAGTCCTTCAACTCAGTTCTTCTTTTTCAAGATTGTCTTAGCTATTCCAGATCCCTTGAGTTTTCGCATGAATTTTAGGAATAGCTTGTTAATTTCTGTTTCTGCAAGGAAGCCCTATTCTTTTTTTTTATACCTTTATTTTATTTACTTATTTTTATGTGGTGCTGCAGATCGAAACTAGGGCCCTACACATACTAGGCAAATGCTCTACCACTGAGCTACAAACCCAGCCCTACCCTATTCTTTTAATAATGGTTAGAAACAAAGATTTTTATGGGGGTAGGAGGAATCATCTGTGATTGTATCATCCATGTAACAATTATTGAGCACTTACTAATATCAGACATGGGAAATTCAGAGATCTGTAATACATGGGTCCTCCCCTAAAGTTGCTTACAGTCTTGCAAGGATAAAGATTCAAATAGAAATAAATACCTTTCAGTATGTGAGGCAGAACATAAGGTACAGTGGGAGTACTGAGGGGCCCATGGAGCAGGATAGCAAAAAAGGACTTTCCCAAAGATACAGTGCCTAGGCTAAAGCCTGAGGATTGCTTAGTTACATACAGTTCAGCCAGAGGAAATGGCAAACATAAGGACAGCATGACATGTTTAGGAACTTCCAGAGGTTCAATTTGGCTGGTATATACAGGAGAAGGAATGTTGAATGAGTAGTAGGAGATGGGTCTGAAGACAGAGGCAAGATCCCGTGGAGGATCTTGTGTGCAACCCAAGGTAATGGGGCTTTATCCAGCACATTGGGCATATTTAAAGATTTTGACCAGGAAAGCAGTAAAACTTTATTGTTTTGTTGTTTTTTTTTAATTTATTTTTATTTTTATTTTATTTATTTATTTTTTTTAAAGAGAGAGTGAGAGAGGAGAGAGAGAGAATTTTTAATATATTTTTTTTTTTAATTCTCGGTGGACACAACATCTTTGTTGGTATGTGGTGCTGAGGATCGAACCCGGGCCGCACGCATGCCAGGCGAGCG